CTGCACACTGTCGGGAGGGGCCTCTGCACACTGTCGGGGGGGCCTCTGCACACTGTCGGGAGGGGCCAATGCACACTGGGGGGGGGGGCCTCTGCACACTGTCGGGGGGGTCTCTGCACACTGTCGGGAGGGACCGCTGCACACTGTTGCGCGGGGGGACCTCTGCACACTGTCGGGAGGGGCCGGCCCCACTTTGGCTTGTTTCCCATGGAGGGAACGAGGTTTGGTCTTACCACGGGGTCTAAGGCCGGGGCTTTCCTCCCAGCTACCCGGAGAACGGCGTGGTCCAGATGAACTCCAGGGACGTCCGAGCTCGCGCCCGCACCATCATCAAGTGGCAGGACCTGGAGGTGGGCCAGGTGGTCATGCTCAACTACAACCCCGACAACCCCAAGGAGCGGGGCTTCTGGTACGACGCGGAGATCTCCAGGAAGCGTGAGACCAGGACGGCGCGGGAACTCTACGCCAACGTGGTGCTCGGGTGAGCCTCGCATCTTGGGGCGAGTCCTCCCTCTCTCCTTTCCTCCCTTTCCGGCCACCCAGCCCCTCCCGGGGCCCCCGGACTAGCTCTGAAGCCGTCCAGCCAGGCTGTGTGTGCTCCGGCCTGGCCTTCCTGCTTCCCCTCTCGGGTCTGCTCTTGCTCACTGCTAAGCATCTTTCTAAGACCGACCACCTTGCGCCCCTGAGTGCCTCTGCCCACGGGACCGTCTCTGACGGCTGGGCCCTGACAGGCAGAGTTGTCAAGCTTCCTTTTTCTCGTTTTTTTTGGATGTTGTTGTTGTTGTTGTTTTTTGAGGCAGAGTCTCACTCTCTTGCCCAGGCTGGAGCACAGTGGCACAATCTCAGCTCACTGCAAGCTCCTCCTCCTGGGTTCACGCCATTCTCCTGCCTCAGCCTCCCGAGTAGCTGGGACTACAGGCGCCCGCCACCTCGCCCGGCTCATTGTTTTGTATCTTTAGTAGAGACGGGGTTTCACCGTGTTAACCAGGATGGTCTTGATTTCTTGACTTTGTGATCCCCCCACCTCGTCCTCCCAAAGTGCTGGGATTACAGGCGTGAGCCACTACGCCCGGCCTCAAGCTTTTTCTCTTTTGTTTGTTTCAAATTTGGTGAATAGGTACCATTCACAGGGTCAAAATTCAGAAAGTACCCAAGACCACACATGAAGATTCCCCCTCCTCTGCCTGGTCACCCAGTTCCCCTTTTTGGCGACATCACTGTTACCAACTTTCTGGGGGCATTCTGTTCATAACCATATTTACAAAACCACACTGCTTAGGAGTCAGCAAACTGCAGTCCACAGGCCCGCTGTGGTCCTCTGCCTGCTTTGACAAATAAAATTTTATTGGGACACAGTCACGCCCATTTTTATCTTACTACCTGTGGTTGCTTTTGTGTTACAAGGTCAGAGTTGCATAGTTGCAACAGAGACTATGTGGCCTACAAAGCTGAAAATCCTTCCTGTCTGACCCTTTGCAGAAAAACT